AAAGTAAATATATAAGTCGTCATGAACACATCTGTCCATCAGACAGAGGGCTGCTGTGCCTCCTGTCATCATTAATGGACGTCTCTTTAAAATGACCGCTCAGAGGAGAGGAGTTCTCATTTCTCTAACCGCCTGCTGCTTCCCCTCCTCTCTCCTCGGTTCCCCTCCTCAGTCCTCCGCTCGCATCTCCTGTGGGCGGGACTAAGTATCGAGGATAGGAGTCGAGGAAAGGAGTCGAGGAGGGGAAATTAGAGTATTGAGAAACCTCTAAGGAGAACTTTTTAAAAAATGTAAAGGAGATTGTTGTCCAGAAGGATAGCATGGACTTCATCTTCAAGTCAAGGTAAGACCACAATTGTAATGAAAATGGGATCTTACTAAGAAAGAACAATCCAATATTTAGATTTTGGGTATCCTTTTGTGGAACGGTCTGTTTAAAATGAATCGAAGCATCAGACTAAAAAAGCTTTTGAAAATAACCGAATATTTCGATTAAGGTAAAAATATAATATTTGTAAATCTGACTCTGAAAGAGTCAGTGCCTCACCAGCCATGAACCTCACCGCACGTCACTGGTCTAAATCCTATGATGTAAGACTTTTTAACAATATCAGTCCTTTGCAAATCAATGACTAGTAAGCGAGCAAGTCTTCCAGTTATCTAGTTCTGGTTGAAATTCACAATATCGAGTTTATATGTCAAAATGTTGTATTTGTGACCATATCCTTTGTCAGATTTTAGCATTTTGTATAGACATTTTCTCAAATCATCAAAGTCTATTTTGAACAAACTTCACTGTTGCAGTAAGTCCTCTGAACTGATTTGGATATATTGTGTTGATACATCTAATTCAGAGATAAAGACATGTGGAACCTATGTTACATGTTGGATTTTGCTTTGTATTGACCTAATAGATTTCAAATCTATTTAATGTGTTGTTGGTTATGTTTCTATGGCTAACATAATGCTTTGATGAGTTTTTAAGTTATTTAAATGTTACAGCAGTTAGGCATCGGGACTGTAATGAATATGATTTTTCTTTCATTTCAACTGATCCAACACCTCCATCTTATACTCTGAGGCTTTTCACTAATGAACACACAACAAAGTCTGGAACAAAAAAAAAAGATTAAAAGCAGAGAGAGCGAAAAAGAGGTGGGGGTGTGCAAAACTCCACATGAAGCCATGAAGGGAAGATTGACAGAAAGAAAAGAAGAAAGGAGATGTGCAACATGAAGACAATGTTTTGAACTTAAAGTTCTTTACGTCTGAATATGATGTAGAAAACAAACAATAGCTTAAACACCAAAGTCACACTGCATAGTACATAACTCCCCTGCAACCTTGTTGAATGTCAATTTCAGGTTATTGCATCTTGTAAAATACTTTGTGGAGGATTTTCTTTGCAGCTTAATGCATGACTTGAGTATAACCTTGTGCCAATCGAGGTAAAAGAAACACCATCAAGAAAACTGAAAAACATGTCCATCCTTGAGAGTTCTATTCAAAATGATTGTATATGTTGTATTCTCTATGTGAAAGAGCCCTAAGCATGCACTGAACATTTCTGAATGTGAGACCCACTCAATCTGTAGTTCCCAAGGACTTTGGTATCAACATCTGGGCAAGCTGGTCATTTTTCATTCTGGCTGTTATCTTTTTTATTTCTCACCCTCTCTCTTTCTGTCTCGGTTCTTTCAATCTCCACATGCGATGCTATCTTGGACCTCTTAATCAGCTTACCAGTCACAGCCGTTTTTGCCCCCGAGGGAAAGGAGTCTTGTCGACTGTCAGGACGCATTGTTCCACCGGTGAAGAGGAGGAGATGAAGAGATAAGAGGCTGCACTCGCTGTGGTACTGTGAACTCTGAAAAGACGGAGATAAAAGAGGGAAAGTTGAGATGGACAGAGTGTGAATGAGGAAATGTTTGTCAAAGCCCTTTTGGTTAGCGAAAAAGAAGTCTGCATCAAATGTGACTCTAAAATCAAGGCTTTCACACATGCCGTTTTAAGTGGACGCTTCTCTAATGACAAAAATAGTCTATTTCCGTTTTGAAAGCATTGGTAAGTCTTTCAGCAGCATTCTGTTTATTCCTCAAGTGCATAATTAATAGGGTCTTTTCCTGATAAACATAGTAATATTGGTATGCCAGTAAAATGGAACAAACTGTTTGCAATCTTTCTCATCCAACCAACCCCTTATTTTGTTCCCAGCACCCAGAAATAGGAATTTTACATTAATTGTAGAGGATTTCAGGATTCAGAATAATTGTGGGTTTGCTGTCCGACAGTCTGTAGTTATTATTAATAATAATAATAATAATAATAATCTTTCAATGCTGTGGGAACTTGTACTGCAGAGATTGTTGGTGATATTTTAGCTCTGCCTCTGTGTTTGTGTCACTTGTCATAACACCTGGAGGTTGTCTTATTTTTGCAAGATCTGGCTTCACAAAACAAAACAGTGTCAATGGTAAACTGGTCTCATGAGGGGCACTATCAATTTGTGTCAACTCTGGCTTCTCCAATCCAGCTCTGAGCACAATGTGACACTGTCACATGCCAAATAGACGGATCCACAGCTCAAATTGTTGATCCAGAGTTCTCTTGCAAGGTAAGAGTTATGAATGATATGTTCTCTCGTTAGTTAGACAATGGAAGGGTTATAAAAAAAATGATTTAATAGAAACAAAAATCCCTTAACTGCTTCTTTGAGATCATTATATTATTGTTTGTCTTTTTGATGTCCCATTTAATTCTTTAAAATTCTCCTAACATGGCTTATAACAACCACTTATATATTGGCTATATTCGTTTTTAACAGATAACTAGGAGCTTATTATTGCACATAAGTGCTGGTCTTTGGATTGATGATTGAAGAATTTGTGGATACAGGGTTTAAGGAAGTTATTTTGAGCACCATGCATGCAGTTCATTTGAAACTTAGCTGTTCTTCTGAAAAGTAAGAGGCAAATATTCATCATAATTTAATTGTATTCCATTACAGCAGATTACGATTTGTATAGGAAATGCACCTGCACAGATTATGGAGGACACTTTATTCAGGCCTCATACCTCCTCATATGACAGTGTAATGACAGTGGGGTGTGTATTTAATAACCTTCATCATGAGAATATGGATTAAAGGAGGTTTGAGATTACTTTTAATTCAGATGCATGACTCCTGCTGAGTTAGAATTGTATTTAATGCTGATTCTGTATTGGCTTTGATAATGGATTTTATTTTCATTTCATTGTGGTGATAGTGCTTATTGTAATGTTAATTGGAAACGATTGTTGACATCTTCTGTTATGTAGATTCGAGATGCTCTGGTATTTGATCCTGCTCTGCGTGACAGAAATATTAACACCAGTAAATCTTAAACGCGCCGAGTGTGTATTATACTGCCGTGGCCTGGAAGCTCTGCTGAATACAATTATAACTGGGTTCCAGGGTGTGCATGATTTGGTGAAATGCAAACATTTTAAATAGATGTTGGTTTTTCTTTTTCTCCCCTAAGAAAAGAGTCATTGGAGATGTAATTGAAACCAGGGTTGGATGTCACCCATTAATATGTGAATTATTTATTAACAACGAACTGAACAGAGTGCTGATGAGAGTTCGATTACATATACTGTGTGCAGGGGAGGAGGGTTTGTAGTGGAGAGGTTACACAGTGACAGAGGAAACAGAAAATACATATGAAGAAA